TCTTTTATTTCTGAGGTGTGGATTTTTGCAGTGACAAATATTGAGAGCTTTAATGCGGATATTAAAAAAGGAGCAAGTGACCCATAAGGATATCAATTTATATTTGGGGTGGGGGTGGGGGAATAGCAAGAAGGCGAAACATATAGAAATATGTATAAATCAACACAGTAACTCTTCAAATGTTCTTCTCCCTCCCGAAGACTAAACCTAGCTGTAATTAATTGATATAGTTCCTCTATATGAGCACTATTAGTGCATTAGAGTTAACTAATATACAGGCTTCCCCCTCTCTGCCCTGCCAATGACCTTAAGCCTCACATAGTAGGAAGGCCACTTGCTGGAGAATAGAAAAGTAATTTATCCGGCAGGACTGTTCGGCGCTGGCCCCTCTGCGGAACGAGGCTGACAATCGCGCCGCGTTATGGATGGCGCGTTTGCGGCCGGGACAATGGTGTGCGCAGCGTCGCACTCCCTTCCCTGAGCACCACGGCCAGGGTCTGAAAAGTGATCCTGGGAAAAACAGCCCACTCGCTGAGCTATGGCCCTCCATTCTCAAATTCAAATCCTTTCTTTTTTTTTTTTTTTGCCCTTCAAATATCTTCCCCCTCTCCTTCCTTTTTTTTTTTTTTTTCCCCCATTCTGTTTTCTCAACTTAAATAAGAGCAGTAAATAGTTTTCCATTCATAAAAGTATGTCATAAGGGGTGGGGGGAAGGTTAGTTTGCTTTTATTTTACCTGGGCTTTCCCAGCTTCTTTGCACATTTCAGGATTTAGCATATTCCCTCAAAACATAATAAATTTTGATTCTGTAGCTTAAGGGATCCATCAGTTAAAACGTTAGTCTTTCATCTTTATTACCCTCCCATTAAAATGAAAGAAACCGGGACACACTTCAGTTTAGAAGAAGCAATTTAGTTGGTAATGTCCTTACTACTCAAGTCTTTACAAAGAGAGAAAGTGCATTATTGCTTATATTTCACACATCTATCTGCATAAGAAGCAACTAAAGCTTTCAGACACATACGATGTTAAATTTAATAATATTCTTTGATTAGATTATTTTATTACAACATTTTTCCATTACCAGTCATTTCCCGTACACATTTACATTCATAAAACCTGCAGGTTTTCCTTTGTTTGTGCGTGTATATGTATTTATAAAGCATGGAAAAGATTCCGTGCTTTGCTCCAGCTGTTAGAGCTGGAAGGGGCAGATTAATAACGAAGTACCACGTAGGCCTGGGTTTCCTTGTACCCTGCACCGGTAACCCCTTGCTATAATGAGGACACAAAGAGGCTCCCATCAGGCTGCTCCTCTTCTTCATAACTCAGGAGCGTCACAGTGGCAATAGCCTCTGGTGCCATTTGTCTTTAGTGCAGTTGTGACACTTCGGCATGATCCATAATTTGGCAGCTATTTACCGTGACATTTCCCTTCAGTGCAGCCATAACATTCAGTGAAGCCATTATTTGGTTCCATTTACCATATAAATTGTATTGTTGTGCATGCATGCTAGCAGCTACATTAGGTACCTGAAAATGAGTAAATCTTGTAAAATAGATACTAACAGCTATTCAGCAGCGGAATTTCTTTACTCCTCAGACAGAAGGAGGAACATATATAATATCTGCAAACATTACTGCAAACTTTTCCTTGAACCACCGTAATTATTTGTATTTACATGACACAGCAGTTACTCTTATCCACTTATTCTAGCACACAAACACACGCACACAAACACACACAGAGCAAACCCCTGCTTGGTAGACATCTCACCATTCAAAAAGGTATTAGGAGATTCCGGCACAGCAATTAGGTAGGGAGCCCGTCTGTAAAATGTGCTGAGGGTTGCAGGCCGCGGGCGCTCGCGTGGGCCCGCGCGCGTACGCACACGTGTGGCAGATCCACGCGGGAAGAGGCAGCTCTTCATCTATTTCTTTGTTGTTTTTTCCACGGGAACATATGTGTGTCGGAAAAGGGAAATTCTGTTATTAGCCTCGGCAAACAATGCTAGATTTCTCTGTAGCAAATTCATTTAGAAAGGTAAAATTAGGATGTAGTGCCAGCAACCACATCTCAATGAGCTGCTATTATTAATAGTATTATTATTTAAATCCCTGCTCTCTACATATAGTATACTTAGTACTTCCCAGGCAAAATGTATTATTATTTTTAATCATTTAAGTCCCCACTGTGCACACAGCTTTTAATACACCTTTTCTGCAAGCATATTAAGTGTATTGTTATTAATCCCTTGCTGTGACTCTACAGTATTTCTTTTCCTTGTATGTTCAATGTCCTATCATCATTTAAACCTCTCAGTGTGCGCATGCCATATACATTTTCCTATCCATCTAATATTTAAACATTATTTAAATCCATCATGGCTTACTTATTCAAAGACAGCCTTTTCCCCATAACTCTGCAGAATATAGTTTTAAATAAAGAAGAAACCTTTATTTTCACATACCTAAAATTATCATGAATCTAAGTAGAAAGGCCTTATCTGTGTACTTCAGAAATACTGTCTCCCTCCCTCCCTTCCTATAGATAATGCACCCTTTCAGCAATCCAAAAGAAATATTTTCTACCTTTAAAAACAAAGATTCTTTGCTCATTCTGGGTTCATTCATGGAAGAGTGATCAGGTATAACCTGAGATCCCTTTAGTTTTGTTAAAACGATAAAGCCAATGGCTACGGCCCAACCTAAACACTGAGAAGGCTACAAAATGAGTAGCCAGGACGTTCAAGTTCTGCATGTAACATATTTAAACTTTTTATTAATGTTGAAATCAGCATTAAAGTGCTGAATAATAACCCTGAAGCCAAAATTAATAACAACAAAATGTCATATTTGAACATATATATAATGGGAACCTTCCAGAAGTTCCTCTCTCCCCTTATTTCGCTCAGTGAGGGAGCCTGGGGCAGTTGCATTACTAAATGTTGTTTATCAAGGAATGCATTAAAGGGAATGCAGGATGCTGTATGCTCAGACTGCATCCTGTTACACAGAAGAGATTTTAGGATAAAAAAATAACTCGCTGCCTCGGAAATACCCAAATTTAGTGGATTGGCAGCAATCAACACCTCTGATAATTGAGTCACTTGGATGATTTTGACAGGAAGAATTTCATTTGAAAAACCATCCCCAGCGCAATCCTTCTGTGCATATCTCAGATCTGATCGTGCTTGTTATCCTTGTGTCCTGCTACGTCCCCAACTTTCTTTCTTTTCAGATGCTTTGGTTGAACTCCCTTGTCTTTGACCATGAACACGAACCACGTGTGTAGGAACTGAGCAGCCAGAACTCTGGATGCTCCGATGCCGTGTGCTGCTCGAGATCGTGGCTTTCTAGCACTCAGCAGGACTGCCAGAACAGAACTACCCTTGGAATTACTGAAAACACCCAAACACCACCAAACTTCGGTCATAGTGAAGAGGAAAGAAGTACATTTCTAGCAGCAGGCCTTAGTGGATGAAAAAGAAAAAAAACAAAACAAAAAAAAAACCATGTGGCTTGGCCTGAATAAAAGAGAAGCAGGAACAAAAACTCAAGCTAAAAACTCCCCAAGTCCCTCCAAAATGGACTAAAACCAGTAAAAAAAATATGGAAGAGACACTTTGTTGAATATGATTATTCTGGATTCAGTGACCTATGCATGAGAAAATTGCAATGAGAATGCCCTAAAATAATTAAAATCATTTTCGCAACTGCCTGTACTACTGACTAAAATTTAAGCTCTTGTTACATGTTACTTTTAATGATTTCTGCTATATACAGTCAGTCCTGAATAACGGCCAAAAATTAAGTTTGCCCTGGATTTTTTCCTTCAACCCCTAGGCATTACCAGTCTATCATTAAGTTTATTATTGGGTATGTGATCCTGCAAAATTTCCTCTCTCAAACTGCATTAAAAAAAATATATATATATATAATTTCAAAAGATACAGCAGAATCATCTTCTCTGATCTTAAACATTTGCTATGGAATAAGATATAGAGCACTCATAGTTTAAAGTATCTGGAAAATACTGATTTGGAAAATTACTGATCTGGAAAAAATTCACAGTGGCTGGAATTCCCAATGTATGTATTGTTAATAGTTTCTGTTAAACGAGAATTAATTTTCAAAACTTCACAAAGCCTTTTGACTGCAGCCACTATCCCCGAGGTACATTGTATGTAAGGGGAGGTTCTGTGACTGCAGATTTAAAACAGTGTCGCTCTTTGCAGAAGAGCTTCTGTAAAAGCAACATCCAGCAGCTTCATTATGGGAAGTCAGGTGAAGAATGAGAGCGCTCTGTAACGTGGAGCACGCCTACAAAGGAGCTAGTCAGCAAGAACGATGGCAGCATGAATAAATGCACAAATATTTCGATAGCTTTCTTCACTTTATTGAATGTTCAGTAAGTATACAGGACCTGGATACATGTGAACGTGGCTCAAACCCTCACTCCAATAATCCTGTAATACTGACTAGAAGGGGACGGTAAACAGAAATGGTAGTAAATGAAAAGGCAAGAAAACAAGAGCATCTCACGCTTTGTAGTAAAAGGTTTAAAACAAAATTGTACAACTATTTCCAGTTATAAACTATGCAATTTAAAAAGTGAAATTGCTTTTCTTCGTGTATCTTAAAACTGCTTCGTTAGAGTTGAAGGATTCTTTTTTTTTTTTGCTGTGTGACTAGTCAATAAATTTTACTAAAATCCATGATGCAACTGAATTATGATTATTTTGTGGCAGAAAATCCAAAGTGCATTTTTTCCCAGAAACCTCAAGAGATTAATAGAACGAATGCATAATATGACTCTCCTTGCTCCAACAATTTTATTTTTAAATCAAGAAATCAAAACTGCTGAAAAGAAAAGAATATTTTTTTCCTGATCTGATATAAAGTCTTATCAAACCCCTCTGACAGACTAAATTGGCCTCTGCATCAAGACTTTTGTGTCAAGAGCAACATCGTTGTGTCGTGCTGGCCTAAATGACACAATCAAACACAGGCCCATTCAGTTCATGCCGCCACCACTGATTTAAGCCCTTTTGGAGAAAAAAAAAACTGAACTTTTTATTAACACCTTAATGCTGTTTTTTAATATAATATCCATTACTAAGTTTAAGAAATTGTTTCTAGTATAAAGTGCCCATTTTCTCTCATCTGATTTATATCATTGTTCTGTTTTTACAGCTTACTGTTGACAGAGTGAGGTAATTCAACTACAATTTTTCCAATGTTTTTTCCCATGTACATGTAATCTACAGCACGGAACACAGACTCCAAGCCAGTGAACCTGCCCTCTGGAGAGGCGTCTCCAAGGTCCACCTCACAAACCAGTTCCCCTTTCTCATACATCTTGAGCAAGTCCTTCAGAGCCATATTGTATTCGGAAAAGTAGTGGTTCAGGAAGAAACCTCGGATGCTGGCAGACTTCCTCAACAGTTTTGCTGGCAGCAATTCTGCTTTAACAGGCTGCAGGCCAGAAGGGTTTTGGTAGCCAGTGATAAACCCAATAACTATCATGCGCCCTTTGGTAGCCAAGGAGTTAACTGCCAAGTCAAACATCTTTCCACCAACAGATTCGTACACTACATCCACACCTTTCGGGTAGGATCTCCTAAGAACAGATTCAACATTTTCGGTTTTATAGTTGATCGTATGGTCACAGCCAATGGATCTGAGAAAGGCACCCTTTTCATCACTGGAGCAGGTTCCAATCACGTGGCACTTGGCCTTCTTTGCAAGCTGCACAGCAAACTGGCCCGTTCCTCCTGCTGCTGCTGTCACCAGGACTTTCTTGCCTTCAGAGAGCCCTCCAAGCTCCTTCAGACTGATGTATGCGGTGGTACCACTTACCATTAAAGTGAGAAACTCGGGTTTCACGGCCGGCACGGGCACTGCGTCTTTGGCAGGCACAACTGTGTACTCAGCAAAGGCACCCAATTTTGTGTAGGCCACGGCTTGGCCCACCGAATAGTTAGCGCTAGCGCTCAGCCCTAAAGCTACCACGTCGCCAACACCTTCCAAACCTATATCGAACGGGGGTTTGGCTGACGGGTCGTATCGACCGGCTGAGTAGTTTATGTCAGATGCATTAATGCCAACAAATCTAGAAGAAAAAAGCAAAAAATGTATTAACAACATGTATTCTTTTCATTCTCTGTCACACGAAAAAAAATCATCCACTTACTTACTTAAACTTACAGAATAAGAGATTCCTCCCCCTGACTCTTCCCCCCTCCCGGCGCTATTTTTGGTATGTTTGAATGAGTACAGTATAGAAAGCACTTCCATCAAACCTTCGTACTTTACATTATGTTGCTCTACGAGTAAGTTTGCTTAAAGAAGAAAATATCCCATTTTCCTCCAGACCAGATTTGGCTAAGCTAAGCCAAATAAAAATAACTGTGTAAAAGATGAAAAATAATCAACTACTTTACAAAAGATGTGAAAACAACGAAGAACAAAATGTGCAAAGTAGCGAATATGTTGATTCTGGCAACAAATTTACATTTTTGAATATAATGCTACTGTTAATGACTAACGATCATATTAACTATCGATGTCGTTTGCAAGGTCATGTTACTGTAGGCAAGTATTTTTTTTAATTGATGGAGTCACTACAGCAAATTTGCCTTCTGATGTGGCTAATGTCAACATTAAAATATTTTTCTTTATACAAATTACTTGCAACACATCAGAGCAACCTTGCACAGGAGGACTAAAAAATGTAAGATTGAGTATCGAGCCCTACTGACCTCTAACAGGTGAAAACGGGTGCCATTTTTTAAAGATAGGGACACTCACAACTTGACTAAGCACTTGGAGACAATGCCAAAAAAGAAAGTTATGATCTAACGCAACCACGAGGATTATTTTAGCAACCCATTTCGTAGTCCATCTTTCTACGTGCAAAGGAAGGGAGGCCGGGGAAGATTCTGCTAAGTAGAAAATGTCAAAAGAAATGTGTGCTACAGAAGAGGCCCGGGGTCTGTCTGCACGTGGAAGTGGCGACCTGAGAGACGTACTTGCTACGAGCAGAAGCTGCCCAAGTGTGCGGGCAGCGAGCGCACTTTTCCTCGCCGTAGTTAGCAACACACTCAAACTGTACGTGTGTGCATTTTCCAATTGCTCGTGCTTGGAGCAAGGGCTGAAAAGGCTCTGCTTGTTTGGATTCCCTTCGCTCGCTGTGGCGTGCGGCGTCTCCAACTTTTGCTGGTGTGCTATACAAAGACGCGTATAAACATATGGATGCAGAAGATGGGTGAAAGTGGCAGCTGCCGCTTTGAAAGTCGCCTTTAATTCCGTGCTCCGCTGCAATGAAAGCACCCGCTTGTCCAGTCTGTCCAGGTCCCTCTGGATGGCAGCACAGCCCTCTGGGGTATCGGCTAAACCTCCCCGTTTCCTGTCATCAGCAAACTTGCTGAGGGAGCCCTCTGTGCCTTCCTCCAGGGCATTGATGAATAAACTGAACAGGACTGGACTAAGGACTGACCCCTGGGGGACCCCGCTAGCTACAGCTCTCCAACTAGACTCTGCACTGCTGATCACCACCCTCTGAGCTCTGCCATCCAGCCAGTTCCTAATCCACCTCACTGTGCACTCATCTATCCCACACCCGAAGCAAGAAATACTCGGGAGTCCTGGTGCGTTTTAAGATCCCGTCCAGATCCTTTATATTGTCCCGTTTAAATTTCTTATTTAAAATGTGCCCCTAAGTGGGGCTCGCTTTCAGCACTGCAAAATCTAAAGACCTGAAGTGGGAAAAAAAAAAGAAAAAAAAAACACACCAGGGGTTGTCTTTTCCTAAAATAATTACGCACATTGAGTCATCCGTTTTATTTACACTGAGCAGTGTTGAACCCCTCGTATTGTTTATTATAAAAACAGGATGATGCTGTGGAGGGCAGGAAATGCTGCTTTTTGCACCACAACAAAGCGTAAGACACTGAAAACCAGCACCAGAGCCTTAAATATAGACGAAACAAAGTCATCAAAACCAGGGCTGGGCAAAGAAAAAAAAAAACCACACATTATTTAGACCAAACAGCAGAAATAATTCTCCACTTTTCCCACAGGGATCCGTTAGTCCTTGATTCATAAACTTTCTCAGACCCCTTTTGCTTCTTCTCTATTTTTGCAAACTTTTTGCTATCTGCCACGGCAACATAAAATCGCTCCGGGTATTTTGGAAACGAAATAGCGCGTCGCTGCGTTAAGAAAATCCTGGGGATCCCACGTAGCTTCCAGCAGGAGCAAATCCGCGCGCTCTGCGCGCCCTTCGCGGCGATCCAGCGGGGGATCCGCGCCCCCCGCCCCCTGGGAACGGGGCGAGCGGCGGAGGAAGCGCGAGCGGCTCCGCCAGGGGCTCTGCTCGCCTCCTCCCCGCGCCCCAGTGAGAACATTTACTGCTTCTAAATCGATCCCTAGATTTACGGCATTTTTCGGTGAATAAAGAGCACGATGGATTTTTCTTTCTTAAAAAGAAAGAAGGGAGGAAAAAAGCACAAATAAAGGTTACACAGTTCTCCACAGGCGAAGGCAGAAAAGTTCCACTTAAATATCTCTCTGCGCAGGGACCCAAAGCATTTAATTTCCCATTCCCCTAAATCCAAAACAAGGTATTACTATTGTGAAGGATTGTTTTGCATAAAAAAGCTCATAAAAAGCTTTTTATTAATTTATACTATTCGTGGACACGGTGGGGACTAAAATGAACAAATAACCAAATGCACTCTCAGAACTTTGTGTGTGTGTGAGAGAGAGATTGTGTGTTTCTACCTGTGAGAAAATGCACAGCTGGATTTCGTGTTTTTTTTTTTTCCCAACACCACGGGAAGCCGCGGGCTCGTCCCTTCGGGGCGGGAAGAGGCTTCCCCGCAGTGACAGCGCGGGGGGCGCCCGCTTCCCGCGGCAGCCCGTAGCGCGGCAGCGCTCCGCAGCCGGGCGGCCCTCGGCGCTGTCCCCATGCGGGACCGCGGGGCGCGCGCCCCGCTCCGCGCCCACGCGCGTGCGCACGCGGCACGTGCGCGGGGCAGAGGGGCAGAG